CTTGGAAAAAATTAATGGAGGCTCAAATAAAGTTACTGGATACGCCTAGGGCCGGATCTGGGTCATGAAACACCTAGGACTGAAACTGACATTTAAACATTTAATTTCAAAAACCAAAAATCAAAGTTGGCCTATGAATCCAGCATCTTCACATAAGGTCGGGTCGGCCTCACCATCATTTGAGTAGAAAATCCAGATTCTGCGTCGTCCTGCTCCGGCTGGTAGATCATCGACGGCTCCTTGAACCATGTGATAGCAGATCTTATATTGGTACAATTTCCATCTTCAATCTATTTTGACGAGGGTCGTGTCATAGATATTGAGATAGGTTGCCCATAGTTCTGAATTAATCATGATCTCTCAAACTTAAAACAATCATGAGAAATAGGGAGTAGTATGCTCGAACAAATTCAATAAGTTTAAGAATAAGAAAACGCCATGTCAACCTGGACTCCATTTAGAAGAGTACTTGTGAAAATTAGGGTTCTATTTGATACACCAGTGAAATTTCAGGTCATGAAATCAATTTTATATACAAAATCTTACTTTAATAGATCTAATTAGCAAATTGAATTGTATTTATTCTTTGTAATTATACCTTATATAGAAATAATTGATTCTTATATCTCTTGCTCAATATGGCTTGATCGAAAAAGACAAATCTCTGAAATTAAAGTTCCATTAAAATTATTTGTTTATTTGTTCTAAATTCTAATAGCTTTTTCATTGCTTTAAGTAGATTTACTAAATTTTTCCATGTGTGTCATGATAATTGATAAACTGTTTAGACTCCTATCTTATTCACACACCTAACTGTTGATCTATAACCAATTTGGGTTATATAGAATTTCATTAGAGTTTGTATTCAATTTTATGTAATTACTCTAAATTATATAAAGTATTTTATACTAAGTCAATTATTAATTTATTCTATGGTTTCTCTAGTTTTAGTTTAAGCCTACTGTTAGAGTCATGATTGATAGATCTTGGATGTATTCTGCGCCGAGATCAAGTGAGCAATTCATAGATGGAGTGGAGAACATCAGCAAGTATCTAGTGATATCAATGTTCCCCTAACTTTTCTTCCAACCATGACTGGTAGGTGTTTCTATCTGTTTTTAAATTTTCATTGTTGTTTCCAGAACTGAAGCCTAGCAAGCGAATCGTCTCAATTGCTTCTCCTTGCGAGTGAACCACGAACCAACAATGATGATAAAGAAGAAATTCCCGTATAGGCGAGTCTATCCGTCGAAATATAAATTCAATATCTATTTTCCCCTAATTTGTGTTTGGACTAGATGTATTATTAATAATTTTTATTTCAAATACGTAATTGATAGTAATTCAACTCTATTATTTAGTTATTTAGCTATCTATTTTTTACAAGTAATTATGTGTTTAATGTATTTTCATGTCTCTGGTGCCTCTAAAATAGCCCCTGGGTAAAATAGACGGGCGAAATTTTAAATTAACATTTCAAAATCTCATATATTTTTGTTAATTAGCTGCAGAAAAGTGATGTACTGTTTCAAAAAAATATCCTTGTATTATTTCCAATAGATCTTATATATGATGACCATAATATCTTCCTTACGTCAAGGATCATTGGGCAACTTATGGGAGAAATTTCTTTTCTAAATACGATTGAGGCAAGCATATTTTATTCTGATCCTCTAAGTTTAGGAAAGTTAGTAGAGTAGTGTTTATCTTAAACTCTACAGTGTGTAGTAGTTTTCTTGGTTAGCTAACTCAAATAATATTCTTATCTTGAAGGTAGATGGACGTGTTGCATCCAAGCAGGGAGTGCGGTTTGTGTTCATAAATAGATCAAGGGTCTCTTTAGATTATCGGTCTGCATCATTCTCTTCTATTTTTTTGTGCCATTTCTTATGTCTAGGAAATAACTAAAGTATATATAACTTGCAGGGTACTGGTTCTGCTGGTGCTACAATGAATGCCCAAAGTGCACTGAAACTGTTAATAGGTGAGACCATTTAATGATTTTTGCGTTGATATTTAACAAATTCTTTACTGTTAAAGTCAAATTAAAGATAGTGTGCATATGTGTGAATTATGAGTTTAATTGATCTGCTCTTTCTTGTACTGGTCGGTCTTATGATTTACATGCATATATGGAAATTAATGATATAAAGCTAATGAGATAACATAGTACAGTTGCGTGTTTCTAAAAAAATATTCTAAAGAATAGCCCGTAAAAGTAAATACCTTAGTCACGGTTTTGCAAATACTCGTTTTTACATAACCATCATTTATGACATTTTATATGCATCAAACAAATATTCAAATAAAATTAGACATAAAGTTCGAAAGTAGGCAAGTGCTAGGGAAATAGAAATTTGAAAATGGAGAAAACTTATAGAACTCATTTCAGCAAGCTTTTGTGTGTGAACGATAAATTTGTTTCATTTAGAAAAACAAATGGAAGAAGATTGGGTTCTGTATACAAATGTGGTTATGGGTTCTGACTTCTGACAAAGCAACCTGCATTTTCTATTTATTTAATTGGAAGAAGATTTCATTCCGGTTAATAGAAACTTGAAAATATATATTGAGAAGAGATTGGGGTGACTGTAGTTACAGGACCAATCTGGACTCGAATTCTCTGTTTTTTTTAACCAGGACTGTTTGGAACCAAGCTGATAGTTCCAATGTGCGGTGCTTGGTTAGAATTGGTCCAGCATTTTCAGATTGAATAAACTGTTTCTTATACACTTTATATGATGTTTGGACTATGGGGCATAACTAATGATTCTTGAAATTTTTGGGCCATACAATTTATCTCATACACTTCTTAGTAATCAGTCAATTGTTTGAGATTTTTGAGTGAATTGTTTCTCATACACTATATGATAAATCACTTCAAAGATTTATGGCTTTCATTGATTATTTTCTCCAAATATCTTGTTTCTCTCTTTGATTGTTTTAACCAAAGCGTATTAAATTCTACCCTATCCCATATTTTGTAGATGATTGGCGGTGAACCTTCCACTACAAATGATATATCATCAACGGGAAGCCATCAACCACGAGGAGCTACTTAGAGATTTAGTATATTGTTGCCTTGGGACTTCTTACTCTGATTTGAATGTTTTTACCTACAAACTATTCTTGTAAATTTTGTTTTTTTTCTTGTAAACTTTGTTCTTATGCAGTACTTTAAATACTTTTGAATGACTTTCCAGTTTCAATATGAAGAGATCATTGAGTGAACACATTCTTATTATTAATTAATACTAGCACACAATATAGTTATTTATTGTTAGTATATTGTGCACTAAAATAAGAGAACGTGAATTTCTTTGACACTTGTGTGTCACAAAAAACATTTCTTGACACATAAACACATTGAGGACTTGAGTAAATTTCTTGACACACTTATGTGTCAATAAAAGTGTTAAGGGATTTGCCAACACATGTGTTTGAGTGTCAAGAATGGTTTTTCCTAACACCGTTCCTAGTGACACTTTTTGTGTGTGTTGGCAAATCCCCCGGAGGGTCAATCTTGACACTTTCACTATTTTTCTTGACACTTTTTATCTGTCATAGAAAGTCCGTTTTCTTGTAGTGTTGTCGGGCAGTTGAGGAGCGTCTAGCACCTAGGCGGCCAATTAAACCGTTCTTTTGGCCAACTAGACCGATTTTTTGGCCGGCTAGGCCGATTAGCTATTTTTTGGTCGACTAGGCCGATTAATAGTCCGACTAGGCCGATTTTTAGAACATTGGTGCAAACTAATAATTACTAACAATACAAAATGTTTATTTTAGCTAGTTATTTCAAATAGACACATAGTAAACAAGCATAAAAGTCAATGACTTAAATTTGTCAAATATGCAATAAATAGTAAAAAATTAAATTTTAGACGGTGAATGGTGGTAGGTTGGTGAGAACATAAATCGATTCACTACAATACTAATACATACATATGTAGAGTGGCAACACCGTGAATAGATAGAGTGACACGTAATTGTCGAAGTATTCTATGGGAAAGTACTACACAAAAACAATTATAATAAAATTAATGACCGCATACAAATTAATGGTGATTATAATTTAATTATGTTAAATGGAATTAGAAGCATAATGATATTACTATGTATACGCCTCATTTTCTTAAGAGGACTCGCTAAATTGAGAAACAAAATAAAATTAACAAATGTCCTAAAAGGGAAGGAGAGAGAAATATAAATACATTGAAGTAAGACCGCTTTCGATGAACGACTATATAAATAAAATGAAAAGTAAGCAAAAATATGTTCTCTAATACACAATAATCTCAATATTAATTTCGAGTGAATATAGTTACATTCAATTTCAAATTGTAGCGTAAATTCTAGTGACAAATAATTAATTATAGTCACACTTTCACATGTAAAATTCAATAGAAACATCATTCAAAATGGAGTATTTGACAATTTGATTGATTTTAAATAGGAAAATTCTACCGTACATACACAATCACCTAGTCAAATCCCTTTTTCTTCAAAAAAAAAAATCATTTGTGCATGCTCATTCATTTTGGATTCTATACTCATTTGAGTTTAACATAAAACTCATTTAATGTGCTCAATATTCATTTGTGTGTGTTTATTTCTTTTAAGTGTATACTTATTCGAGTTTAATATAAAACTTATCTGAGATCAGTAGCAGCAATGATTCCTTAGCATCGAAGTAGACTCCCTTTGTCTCTCCAATTCTCCAACACCCAAAAAATTGATTCTAGAAGTAAATTAGAGCATCATAATCACTTCTGCATTTTCATCTAAACACTCAAACTTCTGCTTCTGATCAAAGAGCATAAGGGCTTTTAAGAATCAGATCCAAACACCACTTATTTTACCCCTACGATATACGTGCACATGTCATTTAAGCAACATTATTACGGTTCACTAAACCTGAATCACTGACGTGTATTATCAAAAAGTCAAATACGTAGTATTTAGTTATGCGCTATTAATTACTGGTAGATCCCATTACCGAAAAAGACACGTTTGTTTAAACCCCATAATAAATCTTACAGAAAGCTCACACTAAACAGCATTCAGTCCCACTCAAAGTTCCTGGCGTAGGACTGGTAGACCGTTCCGCTTCACCCCGCACATTTTTTTTGCTCCAACTGATTCTTCATACTTCCCGTCGACGTCTGCATTTTCTATTCGTCCGGGCTCGCCAGTGATCGATCGAGGTAAGCAGAGAAAGCGTTTTTCAAATTTGTACCTTTTCTGGACATCTTTGAGGCTCAATCAGCTAATTTTCACTTCCATGAACTAAAAAAGAGCAGTTGGTTTGTTTCAATAACTTGGATTTAATTTTTGTGGCTTTTAACGATGTCAGAAATGGATGCATCCGGGCTTGTGATTTCCCGCAAGGAAGATGTAGTGGAAACGCTGCTGCGTTTATTGGTGGGGCCTCTCTTGCCAGTATATCATATCCCACCAGGAGATCCGCCTATCGATAAACAACAATCAGTAGCTAAACAGGTTTATTTACTTCCCTACACTAGTAATGCGACATCTTAGCCTATCACGCTGTTGTATTGATTGCTTGTTTTCATTTTTATTCTGCTCTCCTGATCTAGCCAATTCATTCATTTTCATGGATGTTGAATTTTGCAGCATTTCCTAAACTAGCCTTGTTACTGACAAGAATATTAAGCTCCTTTTCTTTAGTGAATTAAGAGTCCTATAGCTTGTGTGGCACTTGAGAACTCCACCTTATGTTAATGGACTTGAATTAATCTCAACTTCTTCATGATCATAGAAGGGACTGCACTTTTAAGATTGTTTTCAACCAAGTGCAGCCATATTTGTTTATCTACGGTTGATTTCTTGAGTAATTATCCAAAATGCTACTAACTTCTTGTAGCCATAATTTCTACACACTGTTTATCTTTTAAAACTTTCCATCATTTGCAATGGAGCCAAAGACTCACTATTTTTGGCTTGGGAATATGATGGAATAAAGAAAAATGGCTCACTAAACTGTCTGCGCTTCTTTGATATGAAGCAACAGTCAGTCCATGCGATTTTTGACACGATTTTCACTATGGGTCATCCGGAAACAGTCTCTTTGTGCTTTAGTACAAGGATAAGACTGCGTACATCCGACCCCCTTACCCCACCAAAGTTGGGTGCGTTTGCGGCACTGGGGTAATAATGATGATTGTTTATCTTTTAAAAGATCTAAACCCATTGGATTGACTTCTGGTGATCAAGATCCATTGGAATGTTGAAAATTTGAAATTGTCTTCAACTTATGTAACTGCAACAAGTTCATTGAGGATCGTCTCTCTTTCACTTTCCCCAACGTTATGTAGTGGTAGTTTTTATTAGCTGTGCTGTTTTTCTGCACGTTTTTTTGCATGTTGACTCTTCAATTGTTATGAATATGTTTATATGAAAGTGGCCTCAAATTTCTGTCTCTCATCTTCTTGTCCCCCCCCTGGATTCAGCTGCATGCAGTTGTGTTGCTTTACAATTACTACCACCGGAAACAGTTTTCTCAAGAAGAGCATTTGGATTTTGAGGCATTTTGCAAATTGGCTGTTACACTAAGGCCAGTTTTAGCTTGGCATTTGAACTCCAAGCCTCAGTCAGATTCTGAGGAGTTAGATGGCCGTGAAAAGCAACTCTCTATTGTAGAAAGATCAATCCAAGATGCATGCAACTTATCTCTCATTCTAGATCCATCCAAAACTAACCCCGTAATAGAAGGATGGGAAATTTCAAAAGTTTCTGTTTTGTTACTGGACTCTGATATGGAGAACTGTTTTCTGATGTTTGGTCCTGTCAATAAAGGGGTTTGGTCTTTTCCTGAAAAAAGCATCGAAATCCCCGCCAGTGATTCAAAAGATGTGAATAAAAGAAAACGAATTGGCGGAACATTGTTAAAAAGGGAACCAAAAACTAGCGAGTCAAGATTGCAGCAGCTTGCGTTTTTGGCAGTTCAGGATGCAACAGGTAGTTTGATTGATGTTGCAAATTATCCTGCTAATCGGCTATTTAGTAGAGTATAAAATGTTATTCACAAATATTCATCACAGAAAAAGTCTTCTATGATTCTCTTTACATGTATTACTTGTAAGTAAGGTTCTAAACAATTGACATGTGGCAAGGCGGCAAGATCCAGTCCAAGCAGGGGAAGATTAAGCAAGCCTGTGGAAGGGTGTTGTTTGTTACTTTAATTATATTGTACAAGGATATATAAGTAAAAGATTTTATATTCAACAAATTTCATACAAAATATAATATACTATTGAATTGTTTGAATATTTATGGACTATTAGTTCTTAAAGCATTTGAAACAACAAAAATGCAAGATAGAGTGCTATTTATTTATACTACTTCGTATTAGTTCTTTAGAGTGATTAAAACTAAAAATGCAAATCAGAATACTAATTAAATCTAGTATGGAGTATTAGTTTTAAAGCAATACAAACTATAAATGCAAAATAAGAGTACCATTTACATGGCCCACCTTTGTCTGTGTATTTGTAAAAAACAGAGGCACCGGGTTGATGTGCAGATTTGCAAATGTCCCAGTTTACCTAAATAAAATCTTACTGAGACCAAAGGGATGAATTTCAACAAAGGTGATGTAAAAAAGATTTACTATCCACGATAGAAACTTGCTAACCTATTCTTGAGTGCTTGACCGTTATTCTAGAACTAGATTTATGCCTTATCCAGTTTGAGTCTGAACTGTTTGTTATCTTGATCTGATCACATTGTATTTGTAGCTTCATTTCCTTCCAAAATCATAATCACGTGTTCTCTGTAAAATTGTACTGATGAAATATCGTTTTCTGATTTGATGACCTCACCTGCTGCAATGATAGTGCACTTTATGTTGTGCAGGTATTAAACGAGCTGATCTTACTGTTTTGGGGAAGCACATTGTATATTCTTTAAGCAAAGCAAAGACAACCACCTGCTTTTACATAATGCAATGCACTAAACCAACTCCAAATTTTATAATCTCTCTTAAAGGCATTATCAAGAGGTTAGTATGGTAAACCATGAACTCCAAATTTTATATTTTCTCCTAAAAACACTATTGACAGGTCAATATGTCTAACAATATACTCCTTCCGTTCCATAAAATTTTTCCCGGTTTGACTTGGATCAAAGTTTAAGAAAGTGTGAATAAAGTGGAAATGTATGGTTGTGGTTGAGTAAGAAAAAGGTAAATGAATATTAACCACACAAAACTTTCCAAAAAGGTAAGTGAGAAGAATTTTAAGGGATGGAGGGAGTAACTACTAAGCACCTAGTATTTAACAACCTATTGTTGCTTACAGAGTCACAACTATGCAAAATTATAGACTTCAACATGACTAGTAATTATGCTGGTAATCTTAAATTAAAGGCTCCATGTCCACATAAAACATTATGCCGATTGCATAAACCAATATACTATGTGTATAAACTCTTGAATGATCTCCACTTCTCGATAGACCTGGTCTATATCAAGGAAATATAGAGCCCATTAACACAATATTGAGTCTAGTAATCCCATCGTACCAATGTGCTCACCTGATTGCAAAGTGCAAACTGAAAGCTAATACGGAGTATTATTGAAATTTGAAAAACAATGTTCCAGTAAGGTTGCAAAATGAAAACTACGCTCTAGACCAAGTGATCACCAATAACCAGGAACTAACTACCCACTAAACACATGTAGAGGTAAGTCGATGAAACCATCAACACTCCCCTCAAACTGGATCAAAAACTATGCTCCGTCAAACTTCTGTGTGTAGAGACCATTAGTAAGGACATCTACTAGCTGGCTAGCTGCTCTGAAGTTGGAAAGTATGGAATGCAGATTCCCCCTCTCAAGTCATTCTTAGATGAAATTACTATCTACTTTAACATGATTTATATTAAATACAGAACTTTGGTTTTGACTTTTGATAATAAAGCTCTTCATTCCCTTAGCTTGCAGGGCCCACTGGTTGTGAAGAGGTCTATCTGGTGTTTTACTACTCCTGTTGTTGAGCATTTTCAGCTGCTTCCTTATGCCACTATCTTGTCAGCCTTGCACCCGGGGTACCAGGAATAATTTTAATTACAAGTTTTATTGAATTCCAATATTCCATATCACAATGCAGTGATTGACTGTTTGCTCCATTTTCATGTTATATTTGCATTTAATGAAGCACCTGTTTGGATTGCAGAGAGACCGCCCCAAGCACTTTGCAAAGTTCAATTTGTAAAAACACTCCGTCTGCTGATGAAAATGCATTTCCAGATATGGGAGAGTCAAACATCACAATGTTGGGTTCCACAGATAACCACAACTTGGTTTGTGAAATAAATAAGAAGCATGATGGAGGTACCTATCATAAATCTAGTGACACAGAAATAGGGAGTGAGATTACATCTTCAAAGATGGGGGATACAAGCACCAAGATGTTGGATTGCCTAGATAATGACTGCGACAATATGGTTTGTGTAGAAAGTGGGAACTGTGACAACAATACCAATTGTGCAAAATCTAGTGGTAATGAGGTAAGAAATGACATTGCATATTTAAAGATTGCTGTATATATAAGCATCAAAATGTCCTATCACTCAGATAATAACTATAATGATGTGTTTTGTAATATAAATAAATACCAAAACACTATTGACAGTAAGGGAATTCCAGCGGCAAAGATTTAGGGAATGAAATTGCTTCCTCAAAGATGGGGTACTAGCATCAAGATATTGGGTTGCTCATTTGACCATTGCAATCGCATGGTTGGTGAAATGAATGAGAACTAAGACAGAAGTTGTTATGGAAATTCCTTTGGTGTAATGGCAATGAATGAAATGACATAATATTCTATAACGCGTTACACATAAAAGACATAACTTTTCAACTTTAATGGGGATTGTTAAATTTCACAACTTCACTAGATGTCTTTAATAGTTTTAACAGCTCTGTCCCTTCATTTATTGATTTAAAGTCAACATAAACACTTTTATCTTGGAGAGCTTCACAAACTTTATAGTTCACTTACTTATCTTATAATGACAAAATCAAATATGAACAAGTTGTTGTCAGAACTCTTTTTTATATTTGATGTCTTCTCTTTGTCTATTCTCCTAGCGCTAGCACTTACCTCTTTTGCACTAGATTTTGCATAATTTGTATTTCTGTTACACTATTCATTTAACAGGACAAAACAATGTTCGAAAGGTTATTTAAGCTTTCCTTGATCATGATGCTTATCTTATATCTTCCATCTTAACACCATCAGCTTTTCCATAACAGGAACTCCTGTCATAAACTTCATTCTTTTCACTCACTACCTTAACACCATCAGCTTTTCCATAACAGGAACTCCTGTCATAAATTTCATTCTTTTCACTAACATTATGGTTGTCGTGATTATTTGAGCATTTTTAACACCTGGATGACAGTGTCCCTTATCTTTGAGGATGCAATTTCATTCCACACCTCTTCACCTCTAAATTTTGCATGGTGGGTATTCCTGTCGCAGTTTTCACTTATTTCAGAAACTACATTCCGATTCTTATATGTGCAATCTGAAATCTTGATGCTTACATGTGCATCCATAGTTGAAGATGCAATGTCATTTCCCACCAGATTTTGCACAACCGCTACTACTGTCATAGTTGTCATTAATCTTGAAATCAACTTAATGACATTGAATGAATGCTTACATGGTTTTCAGGCAGAGGTAGCTGAGAAAGTAATCCTTGAAGCATCTAAGGGAAACTCATCATTGCAGACAGCACTTGGTGTCCTCTCCAAGGAAAACGAGGCACTGGTAATTTTTTTGTCTTCTTCTTTAATATACAGAGACATGCATGCATTGCCTACTAGAATTTTTTGCTACTTTTCATTCATATTGCAAATGGCTCAATCTGCAGCCAAAACATTTCTTTATTCAAATAAAGGAAAAATAAGAATGATATATGGTTCCTGTCCAGGTGATCTTCTTAAAGTAGCAATAATGTCTATTATGGCTGAATACTCTAGATAAAGAACATGATATCCAACCAAATGAGGCAATTTTTTTAATTTGCTTGTGCAACTGCTAGAACCTCTGCACCATATTTTTTATTCATAAGGTATAATACAAATTGTTTTAATAAATATATGTGCTGAACATTTAATGCTGAGCAGTAAATGTATTTGCATCATTTGCAATGGAGCCAAAGATTCATTATTTTTTGGCTTGAGAATATGATGGAATAAAGCAAAATGGCTCACTAAACTGTCTGCGCTTCTTTGTTATGAAGTAGCAATCAGCCCATGCAATTTTGGACGCGATTTTCACTATGGGTCATCCATAAACAGTCTCTCTGTGCTTTAGTACAGAGTTAAGACTGCGTACATCCGACCCCCTTACCCCACCATAGGTGGGAAGCCTTTGCGGCACTGGGGTAAATGAAAATGAAAATGAAAATGAGTAAATGTATTTGCATTTAAGAGGCTCGGATTAGGAATACTCTAAATTCTAAATATATGAAAGTGCAGGAACTTATATACTACCTCCGTTCTTTAATAAATGCAACATGTTGTTTTTTGCACTATTCACATGTTATACCTTGACTAAATATTATTTATTAATAATTTATTTTTAAAAAAACATTGTTAAATTTGTCTCATTGTGAATTTTTAAAATTTGAATTTTTATTTTTTTTCTAATAGAAAATTAAATATATATTAATGGTCAAAGTTGTGCATCGGCAAATGTGAAAAGTTGACTGTTGTATTCATTATTCTTTTGAGAAAAGGTCACAACAGAAAGGGCACCCGTAGTAAAACATCGCAACTATTTTTTTTTTGTTTGTATAAATTTGTAGTGTTAAACTGTTAACTAATGTTGAGAGATAATCAGAACTATATATTTCATACCACTGAACTCATCATTATTCTTTTGAGAGGTCACAACACAAAGGGCATACAGAGTAAAACATTGCAACTATATGTTTTTTTTGTTGTATAAATTTGTGGTGTTAAACTGTTAACTAATGTTGAGAGATAATCAGAACTATATATTTCATGTCACTGACCTCAACTAGCTTGGAGTTATGTGATACTGATGACGATGCACAATAATCATAGTATGGGTTTAAAAAACCTGTTATTTGGATGGGTTTGTGAGGGTGGGTCAGCTGTGGATGTAGTATACCTTAACTCTTAGACCATAGTAACATACCTAGATTCCAATGTTAATACAATGAAGATTGGGGGAGGGTAAGCATACTTTTCTCTCTTCGATTTAAGCATCAAATGCCTAACACCTCAATTTAAATAGTAAAGCATATACTCACTTGAAATGGAAAGTAAGTCAAGAAGGACATTCAATGTTATACAAAAATTAAATTTTTATACTTTATATGTTTCACTTACTAAACTAAAATTATAAGTTGTCTGTTCAATCTGTCCTCTCTAGTGTTCCATTTAAAAATGCAAATCAGCCATATCAATAGGTTTTTTGGAGCTAACTTTTGGATATAAAAACGGTCATTTCTGTTGCTCTTGTTGGCAGTGTAATAAGAAACGCTGCATAGAAGAGAAGATTGCCTTGTTAGACAAAAGTATCCTTGAAGTCTTAGATGGTATGATTTCTATCTATGGTCTCCATTAGCTGCCTTTAGTTCACAATCTTTTTTTTTGCTTCTGCATGGTGTGACACCTCAGGTTTGTTTCAATATATTATTGTGATATCAACAACAACAACAACAAAATCCAAGCCTTAGTCCCAAAAGTGTTTGGGTCGGCTAACATGATTTGACACATGAAACTGGAGTTAAAAAAGATTAAAAGAGATCAATCCTTCACACTTACTTCCTGCGTTTCTTTTTAGTTGCAACACTTTCCTTTTTGGGAAGTTTCAAAATGCAAAACATCTATTTTAGGATACAAAAATATGTGCAATTCTCTTTAATATCCCTATTTCATCCGTATACATTCATCCAAGATCCCCTTCTGCAATTTCATCCGTATACATCATTTCTTTTATTCTCTCTCTTTAATATCCATCCACTCCTTATCTCACGCCAGTACTCCACCCACTTTCTTCCATTCATCACCATCTAGTTTCTTCTTGCTTCTTCTCTCTCGTACTGTTCATCAAAATCTCTTTTCTTTATTTCCAAAATTAAGCATTTAGTCGAGCGATTTTACTTGGTCAGATTCTTATCCTTCATCAAGTGTGACTGAAAGGCTGGAAAACACGAAGCAGTAGGAGGGGAAAGTGAGGCTTTGATTGGTTTTGGGAGTAACCTACCGGAAGGCGTCTTCTCCCCAGTTGAAGGAATTCTTCATGCAAAAATGGAGATTCCAGATTTCAACCAGGAGGTAGCTCTCTTATAGCCTAGACAATCCTTCCTGAGATTTGATTTTTGGACTGCTGTAGTTGTACTTTACTGTGTGTGGATGGTACTTTTTCGGCCATATGAGGGTGAGAATGAGAGAATTATTTACGGTTGCACACTGGCAGAAGTGGAAAGCAATTACTTTATCAATGTTTCTTAATATGTGTGCCATGTTGCTATGTTGCAATTAATTTAGAACGGAGGATAGTATATTCTCCCACTTCGCTCTCTCCAAAGTCATACTCTATTTTAATCCATGAAGTACCATTTCATTAATGTTATATAATCTTTATTGATTTTTTCTCTTCATTTCTTTCAACATACTCCATTTAACTTGTGGAAGAACTCGGCTCTTGTAAGTGTTTCACAAATATCTTGTCAACCGAAAGCTTTTAATTCTCAAGCTAGAAATGCATAGTTTAGCAGGGTAGATATTTATCCTGATTACTCTTTTATATAATTCGGAAACCGATGTTAAGTTCGAAAAACGTTCCTTCTTTTGGCGTTTGAATAAGGACAGAAGAACAACTAACTTTTTTTTTAAATTCCATTTGATAAGTAGCTTTGTCAGTTATCATGGCATTCTGAATTTCAAGTCCTCAAACTACCAAAAGTTTACAAGGTGGCTTCCATCTTCTAATACTTGAACCTCTGTAGCATTAAGGTTACTGGTAGGTGTCCCCTAAAACTTTGATCAAGCTATTATGTTCCCGGGGCATGATTTGCATCAGCCGGTGAATGTAGATGGTGAGCATCACTATGGGTGTAGAGGTAATTGGGAATGTGAATAGAAATTATGATTGATGATGTAATAATAGACACTGGGATGGATAGAGAGAGATCTGAGATCAAAACACACTTGGTTATTTCTTAGTGTTTTCCCTCCACCTTGATTTTTCCTTATTCTTTTAAACAAAGAATACCTCTTTATATTGATAAGAGTTACAAGGTTTGAAGCCTTGCCAAAAAGGAAAAGAATAAAACATGCAAGGCACTTAAGCACCCATATATATAACACACATTTTAAAGGAAGGAAAAGAAAATCCAAATTAACAGTCAAATATAATCACTTCCCATTATCTGCTACCGTATTTGGTCTTGAACCATGAATTGTGCACCACTTGTATCACTTTCATGCTTCATCACCCCCCTTCATGACAGAGTGATTACCGTTTCTTGGCAAAACTAATCTACGATTCTACGTGTTCCTTGATATGCATGCCATGTTTCCATTTCGCTGAGTCTTAGAATGAAGTACTGCAGCTCATTGGATAAAACCAAACAAAAAATTGAAAGACACAGGCGTGGAGTGTTCCTAAATGAATGTGAGAAATCATGAGCATCTTTAGTTGTGAAAGTGTCTACGCAGAATTCTCATTTGTCCACATGACTTTCTTTGCCTTTGAAATTGGGGACTTCCCATTTGGTGTAATATGTTGATTTGTACGGGTTGGAAGTGATGCTGACACTTTGATGAAATGGTGGTAATTTGATTGAGGCATTTTCAAGGGAAGGAAGTTCGGTCTCCAACAAGACCACATATTTGATGTGGTTGCCAATAATGTTTCGAACTGCCAAGGCCTAATCTTTGAGTTCGACTGTGAGTGGCATAAGATCCCCGTTTTTGCTAAAGGTGTGGAGAGAGCAAACTTCATCTCGGTCATTTTTGGCGTGCTGATGTCAACATGCCCCCAACAACAACAACCAAGCCTTAATCTAATATTAATTGGGTTGTCTACTGAACTAATACAAAATGTCTCAATGGAATTCATTAAAATATCATGTTCACTCTTTTATGTTAACATTTGTCAACAAATACCCATTCTTTCGTTCTTGAGGCATAATTCACATCAGCAAATGAGAATTGTTGAACATTGTTACAAGTGCACTTTGTAATTTTCGTCAATTGTCCTTTTTGCCTTAAATAATTATTGCTCGTGTTCATCTCCAAAGAAACTGCATTTATATAGACATGGGTTTCATATTAGGCAAGCTCGTAAAATGAATGAACAATAGTTTTACTACTACCTTTAAGTAGTAAAACATGGACAAAGTTTAAAAATATGACTACTTATGTTTTATTCCCAAATTAGGAGTCATAGTAAAAGAATAAACAATAAAATCTCCCTCTTGTATGATTGAGTGAATCATATTTTAGGAAGAAATTAATAGTGGTCCTATTTGAGGAACTTTCCTATGTTTTCCTTCTATGTAGAGAACTTCTCTATACTTAACGAGGTTATCCATCCTACTTGAAAGTGGTTGGACCCAATCCTTGAATTCAAATATCAATTCTGGCAGAGGATGTCATGAATTACATCCTGGAGTTCTTAGCATATCTATGTCAATACCCATTAACAAAACAAAATTGTTATGTTCTTGAGGCATGGTTTGCACCAATGCGCGATGAAGGTGGTTAGTGCGATTAAGAGTGTAAATGGAATTTGGAATGTAAATAGAAGTAGGCCTAATGATGATGTAATGAATACGATAATGAAGCATTATCACCATCACCTTAATCTCAATTACCTTAGTTTTAGCAACATGAAATTTATAGTTTCATGACTTCATCTAATTGTCTAAATTTAGTTATAATTATAATTCTAAAAGAAAACACAATGGAGAACTTTTACAGTAGATGCTTGTCCACCAGAGTTTTCCAGAAGGATTAATGAAATAAAAGCCCAAAATTATCACAATATAAGTCCTCTTCACTTGCATGAAAAATGTAAAGACTAAAGAGAGACAACAATGAGTTGAGATAATTATATATACTTATATAGTATGTATAATCATGTCCTAATGCAAAATTGAGATTATAAAAATGACTGCACATCACGTGACATGATTGTGAACACGATTTTGACATCATCATCATCATCATCATCGTCATCATTATCATTACCCCAGTGCCGCAAAGGCTCCCACCTACGGTGGGGTAAGAGGAGGTGGGATGTACGCGGTCTTACCCCTGTACTACTGTACTAAAGCACAGAGAGACTATTTCTAGATGACCCATTGTGAAAATCGCTTCCAAAATTGCATGGACTAACTGTTACTTCATAACAAAGAAGCATAGAAAGTCTGTTTCCGGATGACCCATAGTGAACACGATTTTGACATATAGAAGTAAAATGCACTTGGGAATTTTGAGAGTTCTCGATTTTCCTTTAAACCATTCTTGCTTATATTGTTAAATAAAGAAACCCCCTTTATTTTGTTAGGGGTCACAAGGGTTAAGAAAAAAGAAACTACAAAAATAAATAAACAAAATGCAATTCTCACATTGTTAAGAAATCCCTCAAAGGAAATAAAATAAAGCCATATTTGGCAATTGAAGATTATTTTAATACATGAATCTATATGATTTGTTTCCTTGTTCAGTTGTTTGATTTATACTTCATCACATGTTCATGGTTTAAGTGGCAATAGTCATAATCATTCACATATTGTTTTCTTCTTCTTTTGTTGGGGGGGGGGGGGGGGGCAGGTTGCCCTACTTACCTTGTTAAAGTGTGCCCTCCAAAACTGGGGGAGTGTTAAGGGTGGCATTATTGTTGTAACTTATCTTCATATTTTGGTAATTTTAAGTTTCTGTCTTTGCCTGAAAACATCCCCCATAGCTTTATCTAACACTATTACTGAGTCTTGCATTAATATTATTACAAAATTTCATTTCCTCACGAATTTTGTGATCTACCCAATTCTTGATAAGCTATCAGTTCTAAATACAAATTTGGTGAAAGTTCATCTAGGTAAAATGTGTCCTGCTAGCATGCTATGTTGGCTCAAAATCTGTGAAAGTGACTCATGCTGGTTTGCTTCTTTTACAAATAAGGGTTAAACTTAGCAAGAATATTTATCAAATTTTGAACTCATGGCCACATTACTTTGAAGAATGTGTGGTAATTAAGCCATATTTTTAAAATATGTTTAAATATTGTTTCTAAATGAATATATTACTATAGTTTATTATAATTTCTCTTTTTTTATAATGATAAAACTAAAGTTGTATATATGTTACTCCCTCATCTTCGCTCATGGACCAAACAACATAACATTAAAATCCTCTCTCCAATCTATTCAAAAAAGGTAACATGAAAATCTCATACCTCCCCTTCGCCACGCTAAACTAGACATAGTATGTCTTGTAAAGGCTCTCCCCGTCTAGTCAAACTTGTCATTCTCGGTGAGGAAGTCAAGATAGGGGAGGCGTTCCTATTTCCTTGCCTATTTGTGAATCTTATTCCAATACATGCCAAATCAATCAGCAAAGTTTGACTTTTATTTACTTTTTTTTTGCTTCGTACACAAGCTCCTTGGGCCAAATATTGAAAGTAGGACCTAGTAGGGTAAGCAGGCCGTGAGCTGTATTTTTTAGAAGTAGTTGTGGTCAGGTTTGTACTTTACTAAACCTCCCTCTGCTGTGGTTGCATTACCGGTTGACTCATAAACACCTAGTAATTCCTTTTTTTTAATGAAAACTTCTTATATTAAAATTAATAAATCAAACATCATTACAATAGACTCAAGGTAATTTAACCCTCAATCAGAAGTCCAATGATTAGACTTAGACTTTGTCACCCACAAACGAGTCGCAAAAGTCTCTAACCATGTAACGGACAAATGGAAACTTAATTTGATCATGTCGATCTCTATGCTTCTAACCCAGTATGAAACTAGCCATCCTCATCCAATCATGTAGTCGTAGCGCCCTCACCTGATTCCCATAGATCTGTAGATATGTCTCGCTCGACAGAACATCAATGGATTTTATTCCAATCTGAAATGCACCAGTGTGATAAAAATATAGAATCACTCTTCCAATCAATGATGGTGGTTCGGAAGGGGGGCGAGCCATCGGTAGCGCCATAGATGATTTGAGAAAAAAGATGACTTCTGAGAAAAGTAGATCTTCGCCTGGAAGATTGTCTTCAATAGCAATAAAACAACAATATAGCATCCTGCAGCAACTCACGTTACTAATTCAAACAGAAATCACCCATAAAGTGACTGTCAAAATTGACAGGATAATAACAACCCTAGATAAACTAGGGAACAAAACACCGCTCATACGAGCATCAAAACAACTTTTAGACATTGTTTAAGCAAAGAAGAAGATGAGAACTAACATTCTTAGAAGAAGGGTGAATAGAGCGGCTAGATTAAATCAAGTTAGGAACCTAAAATCTGAGCACCTAGTAGTGCTTTTGGAAACTACACTCTTTGGCTGTTTGCGATATATCTATTCATTGAGATTCATTTAATTGTGCGGTTGTGCCTATGTTTCCTTTTTTTGCAGGAAGGGAAGATGGTTTGACACTAGAAATACAAAAAAATGACAGTTTTTGTGATGAAATGTGCTTGAAGGAAACCCATATCCAAGAAGTACAGCATCAACATTCTGTAGACTTGGCCTATCTTCAACATGTGAACAGCAGGACAAATGAAGGTCATGTTCCCTCACTACGACCTGCAAGCCAGGCAAGTATTTGCAAGATAAATATCATTTTATATGTGTTTTATATTGCACATTATAAATGCTATCCGATTGGTAGTGCCATATAGCTTTGCCTGAAAGGAGAGCTTTCAACAAAGAGCACTGGCAGAGTGATGGCTGCCAAAAAAATCAAATTTGGGGTGGACTGAAAAGAAATCCTTCATATAAACATTTATACTTGATAGTTCCCATAGAACAAAAGTTTTTGGTCATACATGGGAAGGAAAGAGCCTGGATTTAACCTCCCCTAGCTATGTATGCCTCAGACATTCATATTCCATTTTTTACATCACAGTCAGTGTTCACTTTTGTAATTTCTTTATTGGTTAAGAAAACGCGTAAACATAATTTTCCTGAGGTTAGTTTAAATGATCTCTGTTAAAGTCAAATCTAATTGGATTATTAATTTTTTTAACTACAATGACATATGATATCCTCAAAGTACATATTCATGTTAAATCTTAAAAATGACTGAATCTGTGAATCACTTAGTTGGAATCTCATTTTTTTTGTCTCAGCTCTGTCTACGAAGTTGTTAACTTGTGACCAAAGAAGGGCTAATGGGACTATACTGTAGAATTGGGGCCCAATGTCATCCTTTTGGGATTTGAAAGTCCCCATGTGTGTGGTTTCAAAATTACTCATTTTTGTTGAAAAGATTTTAAATGTATAAATTTATGAATGTTTCTTATGTAGTTTTTTATGGAGTAAACTGTCCCCTTCATGGAATCTTGTCTTCCTTTTGTCCAGCCCTATGTTTAGTCATGATGCAGCACCAAACCATTTCAAAGTACATATTGAAACCCTAAATATTGGGCTCAACCCACTTTTTGTAGTTAGATCTAGTTGTACCCTAGTTATAGCTATAAGTATAGCTATTGCTGGAATATCTTAAAATAAGAATAAGAATTAGATTCATATACGGATTATTTCACATAGTATCAGAGCCATTTATTACTTAGTTTTCAGTTTATTCTTTAGTTTTCCGACATGATGTTTTACGGTGGGAGTGTATATGAGCGAGGAAACCTTATATTATTATCATTATTACTTTAATACTATTATTGTTATTCCTATGTCTGCTTCAGGCAACTTCCTAACTAACATTTATCTCTTTTAATAGTTGTAAGGGTCATTAGTAATATTCAATACAGAACCTTTGAAGAATCAATTCTAGTTTGTTTTGACAAGGTTGGACACACTAATACTAAACGTTTAGGTGAATCCGGATGCCTTAGTAATTCTTATTCTTACATTTCATACCAAAAAAAACAAAACAAAGTTCTGCAATTTTATTTATTCACTTATGTATCCAAAACACAAAATCTATAAAATCAAACGTTTCCCTTTGGATTGACTCGGTATTTACCGGTATTTATTACTACATCAACCGGCACTTATATATTTGCAAGTTAAGTTTGACCAGTACCCTAGTAATAAGAATGAGAGAACATTTCACACTACATATGCACTGTTAAGAGCGCGCGTACACGATCTCGTCCAAGGTCGAGAAAGAGACAAAGGAAGCGAATTCAAGTACTGAGATGAATAAATTTTCGGATCTATGATGAGCCGAGAGAGAGAAAGAAAATAAAAGATTTTAATGGAATTAATTCGGTGCCCGACCTTGTCAAGACACAGTAATTAATTCTGCCGAAAAACCTCCCTCTAAAACAACTGAGGACCCATATATAAAGGTCTTAGAAGAGTCCTAAAAGAGAATTAGGAAACTTACTAAAACTGAATTAGGAAACTTACTTAAAACTGAATTAGGAAACTTGCTAAACTGAATTAAAAAGCCATAAAGTAAATGCAGGAACTTGCTCCCATAGTCAGCCACTTCCAGTGGTCTCATTGGGCTGAATTTCTTGGGCCCAATCACCATTTTGCCCAATCCTGCGCCTTTGATATTTTTGGCCCCAAAACTTGTCCATAACATCACTCCCCTCGTTGACTAGGAGCTTGTCCCCAAGCTCAAAATCTGGATACGCGGCCCGAAATGTATCTGCAGGTTCCCAGGAGGCTTCTTCAATTGATTTCCCCTTCCACTGGACCAGGAATTCTAAGGAGCCATGATGCAGACAGTTGCGGAGAATAGCAAGTGGTGTGATTTCGTCAGGGGGGTCAACTAGCAATGGCAGAGTTCCCATGGTTGTGGGTGGGGTCCCATTGTGTGGCTTTAAAAGAGAGACATGAAACACCTCGTGAATGCGGCTCGCTGGTGGTAATTTCAATTTGTATGCTGCTTCTCCAACTCGTGACTGAACTTGAAATGGTCCATGAGACTTTGGAATTACTTTATGGTTACCACGACCCAGGGAGAGTTGTCTGTGAGGATGAATGCGTAGCCAGACCCAATCTCCTGCCTGGAAGGAAAGATCGTGATGAGTCTTGTCATACTGCAGATTCATGCGTTGCTGGGCTTGAGCTAGTCGCTCTCGGGCCTTAGCCAAGAGTTGATCCCGGCTAAGGATCTCACGGTCCACACCCTTTAATCGTGCCGTCCCAGGGACATATGAGATAAGTTTTGGTGGATCACGACCATAAACAAGACGAAAGGGTGTATCCCCCAAAGACGTATGGTAAGAGGTGTTATAGCAGTATTCCACCCATGGGATCCAATGAACCCACTCTTTTGGGTAATCACTTGTAAGGCATCGCAAAAACATTCCCAAAGTACAATTTACTACCTCAGTTTGACCATCGGTTTGAGGATGATAGGCAAAAGAAAAAGCCAATTTAGTGCCCGCCAACCGAAATAGTTCTTTCCAAAAGGAACTCACAAATATCTTATCCCGGTCACAGACGATAGATTCTGGTAGTCCATGTAAGCGGAATATCTCCGAAAGAAGACCCCTACAACAGAAATTGCCGTGAACGGGTGTGCCAATGGAAGAAAATGCACTGTTTTGGAAAGACGATCAACAACCACCAATATCACTGTCTTGCCTCTCACCTTAGTCAGCCCTTCTCCAAAATCCATCGGTATATCTGCCCAAATGTGTTGTGGAATCGGGAGTGGTTGAAGGAGCCCTGCCGGCTGCAAGCTCAACCATTTGTGTTGCTGACACGTCTGACAATTCTGAATAAATGCTGCCACGGTTGATTTCATGCTAGGCCAGAAAAACTCCCGACGGAGACGCTGCAGCGTCTTTTCCACCCCTTCATGCGCCATGCCATGGAAAACTGAAAGGAAGATCGAAATAATGGCGAAGGAATCCAGGAGATATAGTTTAGACTTGAAATAAACAAACTGCCGTTGATCCATTCCCTGCATGTTGGTGTTCAAATTATCGGTTGATGTAGAATCAGTCCCCATCGTGCCTGATGCTGATACCAAATTGTTAAGAGCGCGCGTACACGATCTCGTCCAAGGTCGAGAACGAGACAAAGGAAGTGAATTCAAGTACTGAGATGAATAAATTTTCGGATCTATGATGAGCCGAGAGAGAGAAAGAAAATAAAGATTTTATTGGAATTAATTCGGTGCCCGACTTTGTCAAGACACAGTAATTTGCCAAAAAACCTCCCTCTAAAACAACTGAGGACCCATATATAAAGGTCTTACAAGAGTCCTAAAAAAGAATTAGGAAACTTACTAAAATTGAATTAGGAAACTTACTTAAAACTGAATTAGGAAACTTGCTAAACTGAATTAAAAAGCCATAAAGTCAATGCAGGAACTTGCTCCCAAAGTCAGCCACTTTCAGTGGTCTCATTGGGCTGAATTTTTTGGGCCCAATCACCCTTTTGCCCAATCCTGCACCTTTGATATTTTTGGCCCCAAAACTTGTCCATAACATGCACTTATTTATTTGTTTGTTGTTCAGTCTTGATTTCAAACTGTACTGGACTACTGGCTACATGTAGCCTTTGTTTTGTTTAGGGAAAAATGGAGAAGAGAGAAATAGGTGAGAAAGAGATGGAGAAGAAAATATATATTAATAGGTAAATTTTGTATGTTGTTTCGCTTGTTTGGTAGGAGAAAAATGCATGGATAGAAATTAGGAGATCCATTTCTTCTCACACTAGGGGACAAATGTTAGGTATCAAATTTAAATTATTTCATAAACCAAACATGAGAATCAATGATATCTCGTCCTTCCACACTCTTTTTTGTACTCTACCACTATTATTTCATAAACCAAACATGAGAATCAATTTATATACTCATCTCACTATTTTTTCTTGTATCTTATGATTGTCAGATGGTGCTCGGGCATTTAACCCGAAGCAATCAAGTATATACGTTTGAGAGTCTTTCTTTTGCATCAATAACCCGATGCCATTATTTTACCTCTGTATGAACAGCTTCTGCATTTTTATTACTTAGACATGCATTCAAAAATACCAGTCCTATATCCAATGTCAATCACAGTTATTTGTTATCCATTGTGTTTTATTATAATACAAGCCAGCTGATAGTTTCATTTGGCAGGAATTGGATGCTATATGTTCTGCAAATGGCTGGAGGCTTCCGGCATATAGGCTTTCCTCAACCCATGGTGAGGCATTTTCATATGATTGAGCTTCTCTAGGCAACTTGCATTTTATGCTTTGCAACTTTATTGTGTACACGCCATTGTCATGCCGGATATTTTATCTGTGCACAGAAACAATATGAGTTAATTATCTCTTTAGGACTAAAAGAGGGCTGGTGTTCACAAATAGGACCATAATACAAACGTATGTTTCATAGGACATATAATCATCTACTTGGACAAAAATGCCCCTATTCTATGATTATTAGAATTTATAAATAAAAGTGTAAAATAAAAATCTAATGAAACCTATATTTCCGGTACTTCAGCCACCCTCACTGCCGCCCTTGCCAGCATCGCCTGCCGCCACTCGCCGCCGCTGCCGCCGCTCACAACTGCCACCACCACCACCACCACTCGCCGCCGCCGCTGCCCACACGCCGTTGCCCCAACCAACGTTATCATCCTCTGCCGCCGCCGCCGTCCACTCCAGCTGCCGTTGCTGCCTTTTAGCAAAACCACCATGAGACTCAGATCTGGAAGTCACCACTGTAACTCCAAGCACCACCACCACCTTCACAACAGCAATGTCATAAATCTGCCATTAAGTTGGCATATTTGGACATCAACATTAATTTAAATCTGCCATTCGTATGAATCTTAAATCTGCCAACAAAGATGGAAGATTGGTCTTGGAAGAATAATACAAAACTGCCATAAATTTGGCAAACATATGAACTCAACAATCAAATATTCGAAAAATAATTTTTTAAAGGAATAAAAACTTTACTACAATAAAAAATCACAAATACGAAACTAATATCAAAAAAATTAAAAAACCGATTTACACAAAATCTATTGTGCCACAACCGAGTGTCAGTATGCATATTCCTGCCATAAATTTGGCAAAATCTTATGCCATCATCCAAAATTACAGGAAATCGGAATTTTTTAAAAAATTCACAAATCTGAATCGGAAATACCTAACAGAGGTCCAAAAATCAGCCAAATGAATGTCAAATCTAAAAAAAAGAATAAGAGGAAAATCTGAAAAATTAATGTTGAAACTCATAAGGAGGAGGAGGAGGAGGAGGAGGAGAAGAACAAGAATAGGAAAAAGAGGAAGAAGAAAAGGAAGGAGGAGGAAACATGACCAAACAGCGGCTGCGAGTGGTGGAGTCGGCGGCGACAATAAGGATGAAATCGACGATGTAGTACGAACTATCGGTGAAGTTGATCGATCTATTGTGAAACAACAACAACAACAACAACAACAACATCCAAGCCTTAGTCCCAAACGATATTGGGGTCGGCTAACATGAATCGATACATGATATCACCAAAAGGAAAAGAAAGAAAAAAAAGAAAAAAAAGATAAGCTATTATAAAAAAAATAATATAAAAGAGATGAATATACATATAAAAGATAAAATAAAAAGGATAAAGTAATATTTATATTTAAGGATAAAAATATAAATAAAAAAAGAAGAAAAAAAAAGAGGGGAAAAGATGGTACAATGATCGATCTATTGTGCAATGAAGAAAAAATCCATTGAGAAGGAGGGAGGATGGTGCGCAGGAGAGAGGGAGAGAAGGATGTGCGTAGAACGGACGCTTGATCGGGTAGGTTAAAGGAGGGGGTAAGAATGGAATGAAAAAATCTATATGTTTTAATATAGGAGTGATATGGTCCTATTTGGGAATAAAACATAAGAAGTTCTGTTTTGGATTTTTACCCTACTTTTACTCCTATTTGGAGTAATTTCTAATTAAATATTTGGTGTGTACAACCGGCATGTACAAATGGCAATTTCCCATGCTTTATCATCATATCAAGATATTAGATTACGTGTAACCATATTCTTGAGCTCACCCTTATTGAAAAGCTTCACCTGCAATCAACATTACGACAGTTGCAAGGAGATGTTACGGACCAATTCTATGGCCGCACATATGAACAAAGAAAGCAGTGCGAGGCAGAGAAGATTAATGACCAACATGGCTAAGAGAAAAGAAATAAGAAGGCAGTTAGAGTCATATTAATATTAGTATTTAATTAGTCCTACTTTAATTAATATTCCTTTATTCAAGTTGTATTAGAATAGCAACTTAGTTTCCTATTTGTTTTAGGAAACCCTTTAGCAACTTAGTTTCCTATTTGTTTTAGGAAACCTTGTATCTATTTAAGGGGATCCCAGCTACTTTAATAAACAGCTTTTTGGTTAATTAATCTTAAGATCTCTTGACTGGGTCAGAGATCGATAATTATCTATCAAGCCTCTATTTTCAGATTCATCTTTTCCTTGTCAATTAAAATAGCTCCAGGAACATCATTGTTTACCTGTTGTCAATCCCGTTCACGTCCTTGGACGAGGTCTCTAACTCACGCACTTAACAGGAGCATATGTTACGGAGCATGCCCTGTCTGCACGTATCAACGGAGTAGGTGGAGAGAGAGATATTAAAGATGGGCCAGGTCTCATTGAACATAATGGGTTGGGTTAGGATGTTCATGACACTGCCCGTGCCTGAAGGGTTGAGCCGAACGGGCTGCCTGGTTATTAAAACAAGCAGCTATTAGTTTCCTAACTATTATTGATTATTGATTGATATTTCCTTGTTCAGTTCTAGACAGTTTCTTATGTTATTTAATATTAATAACGTACTTTTGGAGATTTAGGATGTTTTAAATTGGATTGGTTTCAATTCCAAACAAGTCATACTTAAATAGATCAGTCCAGATCAGACTTCGGTAGTTATAAATACACATAGAATAGACATTGATCAAATCAGTTCAGACCAGATCAAAAAATTAGTCTTAAAATTAGAAGTCTGAATGTTTTAACCATGTAACTAAGTAAGTAACTAATTAATGTAATTTAGTTTTTGAAGTCCAGGACACATTAAATTAGTAAATATAAAATTTACATTATAAGACTTAGTTAAATTAGCCTTAGTTTTATCTTATCTTTTTATCTTATCATTTTTATCTTTGTAAGTTTTTATCTTTTTTTAGCTCCAGTTTCATATGTGGAATCATGTTAACCGACTCCAAACTCTTGTGGGACAAAAGCTTGGATGCTGTATAAAATTTCATACATCAGTAAACTTAAAGCTCTTGAACTCATTAAATGAGTAACCATTGAATGTTTATTTTGGTGAATGGTGACTGGTTTTGGTGTTCAACACCTTGCTTACTTGTGGTATTTATATGATTTTATCATTATTTTTTGGTTGAAGGTATCATGTAAATGTTCTATTAGTATTACTAACAAATCTATATGCTTAAGTCCCGTGAGGCGTGCACTTCCGCCTCGTGCCTTGGCTATTTAACAAAAGCGTCTCATGACGCCTCACGCCTTTTAAAACTAAGGTGTTAAACGATTTGATATTAGCATCTTTTATGATGGGTTCATGGGTACAGACGCTGTAACAGCTAGTTCCTTGGAAAATACTTCTAACATAATGCTTGCTCTATGTTAAAAGTTCTATAGAGTAAAATGTTAGAAGTGTTTAACAGATTTGTGGGGGAAACTAAAGAGGAAAAGGGGACCAAAAATGGGACAATGAGAGTAGTATTTTGAGGTGATCACATATTATTTGTTTCATTAATATCCATCATTATCCATGTAAGAAGTAGCAAGGACCTATATATTTGGTCTGATGGAGAAAAGTGATAATCAGGGGCAATTGTTATCCCCCATTAATAAGCATGTTGCAGTGCTCTCTTGTGAATGTGTAAATTTTATATTTTTAGATGAATCTAACATTAATGAAGAAATAGTGACCTTTTATTTTCAGAGTTTGGTCTTCTGTTTGCTATGATACATTATAAGCTTGAAAGACTGGTGAAAACCTGTTGCTAGTTTTGTTTCTCAGTTATTTACGGAATTTTTACTCTCTATTCTCTCTCTCAAGCCTCGTTTTGTAGTACTGGCTATTGCCTATAACTAATAAATGCGTATAACATCTCTATTAGGTGGTGCTTGTGTTAAGATTATGATAAAAGGAACGAGTTTTGAATGCTCTTGTGATGGTGATCAACAATCTGATTCCTCAGAAGCAAAGGAGTTGGCGGTTGCAAAGCTGATCTCCAGGTTAGGTACTATATCTAACAGAAATGATCATTGAGAGCTTTGGCTAAAATCAACTATCTTGCGATTGTGGTTCAATCACCAGATCATATACTGAAGATGAATGAGTTGACAGATTTTGTTTGACGGCTGCTTCATGATGTAAACACCAATAATGGTTTTGTTCAGTGTGTGTGTGTATGTAATTGTGATTGTGGGGATATTACCATCCTATCATATTCTGCATCAATGAATTGCATCTTTAAGTGAGCAGAAAGTATACTGCACAATGTTTTGGTTTGTTTGTATGGCTAATGCATCCTCTGGAGTCTCTGGACACCTTCACACTTCTTCTAGTGAGAAGAAAACATCCCTTTGTTGGAAGAACTTGTAGTTAAGAGGGCAGTTTTTACAGATACGAAGGCCCATGCTAAGGTTGAATGCTGAATTGCTCATGATGAGCTTGAAGAGATTTCAATGTAGTTTCTGAATATGTTTATTTTAATTATTAAAAAATAAATCAATTATCAATAAAGAGAATTTAACTTTAACTGTTGACAAAAAAATTATTGACTTTGCATGTCAATTTGGGATAAAATCATAAAATGAGTATGAAAATTGATAAATTGTGTCGATTTTTGGAGGATGAATAAACTTTAATTTCCTCTAAGCACTTGAAAAAAGTGACATTGTTTGGTATTGGTATGACATGATACCGTCCCGTTTCAAAATGAAACCGTAGCGAACGGGTTTAGGTCTAAGACCGAACCGAACCGTTTGAATAGTAATGGTACGGGTACGGGTTCGGCCAAATATTGGACCGGACCGGACCGCGCCCACCCCTAGTGTATTCAACCTAATAGGCAAATGGAACAAACGGAACGGAAGGGATGAAAGGGATTGGACAGAAATAAAACGGGAGTACAAATGCTAAAGCATAGTGGACCATCTCATGAAGCTACACATTTACACCAACATTTTTTTCATCCCTAAAATACCCTAACTTTCATTGACAATTATAAGATTTTAGAAATTAGTGCTAATTTTAAAAAATATTGTCAGTATGGTAGTGTTAAAATATAACAATAATTAGTTCTTTTTTTAGAATAAAAAACATGACAGTTATAATTTAAAATTTTAAACATTTTTAGTCTTATTTCGGGTAATATTTTCTTTAATCAATTAATATTAATGTTTTATCTATAACCTTTGCTCTTACTTTTGTTAAAATATACTCCGTATTTTGTAAAAAATTAAAGTATGACACATTTGCATTAATCGTCATCAAAAGGTAACATCAATGACAAAATAAAATTTTCATTATTTTACAAAACAACTAGTGACGAAATATAATCTTGTCATACTAATCAAAATTTACGTGACACAAATTATCATCATAAATTGTTTCTGAAATGTCATCAAAAGAATTCCCTCCAAATTTTTGGCATCATATTTTGGCGCTCAATTTTTAAGTGACAAATTTGCGTTTATTGTCATAATAAGTATCAATTATTGATGAAATATATGAGTTAAAATGACAGATGCTAATATTGTCACAACAAATCCTTTTACTGTGACGAAATTTAGTTTTGTAACTATTACTGAATATAATATGACAATTTTTTTGTGTGTCACGTAATTTTTTGTCACAAAACGTGTGATTTATGAACATCATCAACATCACCTACCGTTTGATAGTATAAATAGTAGTATTTATTTCATTTTAAAGGGTTGACAAATGATACTCTCCAGCGCTAGCAATCCTGAATCCCCCCATCAGAAATAGACAATCAGCTTAGAGTGGCTTGTAGTAGTGTGCTGTAAATAGACCAAATTCAGAGTAATAAGATACGACCCACTTACTAGACTAACTTATTGCTTGTCCATTATTGCTTGTGCGTAATCATCACTCACAATCCACCAATCGGATGACTACAATCATTGCTTGGACGAGGTGGCGGTTCGCTGTTCCGGAGCCTGTGTCACTGTGGTCTGTGTTAGTATAGCCGCGGTGTCATTGTGATCGTCGGCGGTCACCGGTCGATGGATGTCACTGTAGCGTGTGTCATTATGGTGAATGCCATAGGTGAATTAGCGGTGGGCAATTCGGTTTGCAGTTCGGTTTTCTTCGGTTTCCGTTCGGTTTCGGTTTATTCGGGTTGGAAGAACTTGTACCAAACTAAAACCATTGGACACCACTTCATCATGCAATTCTTGCAATTCATTTCCTACAAAACAATATTTTATTTACATAATTCAAATCCCTAGAATTAACACAAGGCAATAGTGGTAGGCCGAGTTTAAAACTGAAACATGTAAGAGTTTAGAAAACAAATATGAAATTAGAGGACTTTGAAAAAGGAAACGGGATTTACATGTATGTCTTTAGAGAAGAATATAAAGCACTAAACAAAAGGCTAAAAACTCAAATCCACTATTTAGGTTTACCATCTTTCACTTTCCACTTCTGAAGTTCATATAAAGGCCTTATTATTTGATCAATTTAAAACAAACATGAAAGAGACAATCTCCCACTTGGCCCTAGTCTACTGCCTAGGAGCTGCATAGCAGTTTTTAGAACACTTGTATCATATTGATCCATTTAAATATAAAATGCTACTTCAAATCTGTCCTAAAAATATGACCCAACCCAATCCACATTCTGCATACTCAGTATATGAGTTAATTACAAGTATTGAATCATGAGGTTCACATTCAATAATCAATACCTCAGAAGGTTTATGTTTACCACAACATTCAATAATCAATACCTCGAGAAGTTCTTTGGTAGGCCTTAACTAGAAAAGACATATCACGCAAGTATATCAGCATCATCATGGATATGTATGAGGATTGTACTACAAGTATCCGTACTAGTGTATGGAGGACTACGAAGTTCCCTATTACTATCGGAGTGCACCAAGGATCGGCTTTGAGCCCTTTCTTATTTGCCATAGTCATGGATGAACTTACAAAGTCAATTCAAGACGATATACCGTGGTGCATGATGTTTGCCGACAATATTGTATTGATTGATGAGACGCAGTCAGGGGCTAAAGCAAAGTTGGAAGTATGGCGATAAACATTGGAGAAAAAGGGTTTCAGACTAAGACGGAGCAAGACAGAGTACATGGAGTGCAAGTTTGGTGGAGGTAGAAGCAGTGGTAATAGCGGAATTACTCTAGATGGTAAGGAGATACTGATCAACGATATGTTCCGTTACTTGGGCTCCGTAATTCAGAAGGACAGTGAGTTAGATGGAGATGTATCCCATAAAATCAGAACATGGTGGATGAAGTGGAAGAGTGCGTCAGGATTTCTATGCGGTCGAGGTATGCCGGCTAGACTGAAGGGTAAATTTTATAGGACAACAATTAGGCATGCATTACTATATGACACGAAGTGTTGGGCGGTGAAGCTATGTCACAATCAAAAGATGAGTGTGACAGAGATGTGCATGCTACGTTGGATGTGTGGGCATACTAGAAAGGACCGCGTGAGGAATGAGATAATTAGACAAAGGGTGTGAGTAACACCTATTGAAGATAAGATGCGGGAGTCGTGCCTACGGTGGTTTGGTCATGTGCATAGAAGACCGAGTGATGCACCTGTCAGACGAGTTGAGATGTGTGGAGAAGAGACATGGAAGAGAGGGAGAGGAAGGCCCAAACAGACGTGGATTAGGGGAGTGAGAAGTGATATGCTTCTTCTTGGATTGGATGAGAGTATGGCTTTGGAGAGAGCAAAATGGAGGACGGGTATTCGGGTGGTGGAGTGATCTTGTATCATCTTTTTCCCTCCTTTTTTCTTATTTTTTATCCTTTTATCCTTATATATATATATATATATATATATATATATATTATTTTATCCTTTTTATTTTATCTTTTATATGTATATTCATCTCTTTTATATTCTTTTTATAATAGCTTATCATTTTTATCTTCATTTCATTTCTTTTCCTTTTGGTGATATCATGTAAAGATTCATGTTAGCCGACCCCAATATCATTTGGGAATAAGGCTTGGATGTTGTTGTTGTTGTGGAGGGCGAAGGAGAGAGTATTTGGATGCAAATTTTTGGATGTCCCTTGTGCATAATTCATTGGGTATTAATAGAGGTTTTGGCCAGAAAACTCTAACCCAAAAGGCACCTAGCTATTGAATGAAAGGTGGTGACCTTTCTTTCAATTTGAAGGGTCATGCCTCTCCTGCAAAGAGATTGATCCAAGAAAACGGAAGAAAAAAAAATATAGTCTTTAAGCGGACTGTTTGACCGGTCCTGAACCCGAACCGACCGACCCGGCCGGCCGGCCAAACGGCAGCGGCGGCGCGCGCATGAAGTTTGGGGAACAATTTCTCATTCATTTCTAAATGGTTTTGCACACTTTAATATATGCTTGCGTTCACCTTTGAGAGTACTATACATTAGGACTTTGGTCCTACCACAAATTAGTTGTGGATCTCTTATTTATTTTAGCTCAAAGGTGACCATTATATTAAAGTAAAAACCATTTTTTCCAACATGTATGACCCATGCTTCGATACTAGCTAGACCCTGATCTCTCTCATATAGTGTATGAAGAGTCCATACGTATTGTAATATATATATATATATATATATATATATATATATATATATATATATATATATATATATATATATACAGGTGCAGTGGAGGAGCTAGGGAGGGGCATGAGGGGGCAAGCGCCCCCGCTTCGGGCAAATTTCTTTAGTACTACTACCTATAATATATTTAATGCCCCTCCTTTTTTCAAAAATTAATACTATTTAAGGATAATTTTAGGTTAAATGTTAAAATAAAAGACAAAGTCTTTCAGGAAACGTACGTGTCTCTAAGAATACAAGTATTGACCGTAGCATACCACACTCATTTGAATGCAAGTGTGGATTGTTTTAAACATTAAATGACACACGTCTTAGCTTTTCGTGGTTATAGTGAGCAAGAAAGTGTTGCGTTTGACGAATATATTGTCACATTTCTTGTAACAAAAATATCATCAAAACATTCTCGAGACTATGTTGGATTCCCTCCTTGGTGGAGAAATTCATGAGAATTTTAGAATTTTTAAAGCATCCAAGATTCTATATATGTGTGTAGAGAAGTGTTGAGTGTTCTAGAATAATAATGTAGGTTTTTTTTTAGAGAAATGTGGAGCTTACTAAAATCATGTGGAAGCCTCTAGAGCATTTTGAAGAATTGTGTGGTTTTCTAAATCCTTCCAAAAGATAAGAGAAGCTTGTGGATACTTTTTGGAAGAATCTAGATGTGTAGTGGTGTATAAAAAATTCTGGAGAAACTTTGATGAGATTTATAGAGAAGCTTCTCATTTATATGAGAACATTGATGAGAGCTCTTGAGCGAGTGAAAGTGAGAGTCTTCTTCAAAGAGGAGAGTGAAAGTCTTCTTGTGAGAAAAGAAGGCTCAAAGGTATCGTTTGACGTAGTGTATGTGATCAACTTAGGTAGACTGAAGTAGTCTCATATACAAAAAGTGAATGGGAATACTACAAAGTGATAT